AAACGTACCTCCGCTAGCGCTGACGTGCACCACAGGGATTCTCGCAGGAACAAATTGCAGTGCTACTGATTCACATGCAAAACAGACGCTTACAGAGGAGAAAAATTCGGTCAAAACTGGTTGAGGGCTGCAGAGAGAAAAGGTGAAAGGGGAATTTGAGGGTCTGGGGAGGAGGGCAAGGACCTCTGGTAGTGTAGTGGTTACGAATCGGGCTGCGAACCTTAAGGTCAGCGGTTCGAAACTACCAGCTGCACCGCGGGAGAAAGATGAGGCTTTCTACTCCCGTAAAGATTTACACCCTCGGAAACCCTATACAGGGTCGCTATGGGTCAGAACCAACTCGATGACACTTAACAACAACAACCTGAAGGTTGGCAGTTCGAAACTACCAGCTGTTCCGCAGGAGAAAGATGAGGCTTTCTGCTTCTGTAAAGATTTACAGCCTCAGAAACCCTGTGCAGGGTCACTATGAGTTGACTCTATAGTACTTAACAACAACAACAACAAGGGGAGGACAGGGTGGGGAATTTTATAAAATAATAAAGCAGCTCTCTCAGTGGCCTGTTGTGTTATGGTCACAGCCTGGGTAAGCTCTATGGTCACAATGAGTGTTTAGCTGTTGTCTTTGAAATTTAAATCAGAATACCTCCTCCTCCCCCCAAAAAAAAACCAAACCCACTGCCCTAGAGATTCTGCTGCTTGGCAGGTTGGCAGGCCTGTATAGGGTTTCTAAGGAGCAGTTGGTGGGTTTGAACTGCTGACTTTGTGGTTTGCAGTCCAGTGCTGATCCTACAGTGTCACACCAGGATGGATGCCTTCTCCTCCGTACACCAACAGTTAACAGCGTTTACCTCTACTCACTTTAACTATTGCAGTCCAATCTGTGTCTCCCTACCTTCATCTTTCTTTCGCTAACCTCCCTCTTGTATATTGCCTGCCCTGTCATCCATATTAACAAGTGTCTATGCAGAATAATGTGCTGGACTGCAAGTTCAGGTTGATCTGCAAGGTCGGCAGTTCAAACCCACCAGCACTCCTTGGAAGCCCTATGAGTTGGAACCGACTCAACCGCACTAACAACAACAACAACCCTCTAGCCCATAAATAATTTTCCCTCCCCTCCCAATGCCCTCCTTCCTCAGTAACCATCATAAATGATTTCTTTTATCAATTAGCCCATTTTTTTTCTTTTTAACTTTTTACATTGTTCTCCTATGATGTTTCTCCATATGAATTAATTTAAAAATGGTTAAATAATTTTTCTGGGAAGAGGCACAAAAAATGGGAGGAGAATATGGATCCTGGGTAGGCCCAACTTTACAGCTGTGTGTTGAGGTAAACTCTCAGCCCAGGTCTCTGAATGGCAATAGTTTAAGTACTGAAGGTAGGGGTAAACTAAAACAAACCCAATGTCATCCAATTCCAATGCATAGGGACTGATGCTCCCTAAAGGACAGAATAGAACTGTTGCCCAGATTGTCTGAGGCTGTAAATAATCTTTAGGGAGGCACACTGCCTTATCTTTCTCTTAAGAAGTTGCTGATGGGTTCCGACCACCAGTCCTTGGGCCAGCAGCCCAGTGCTTAACCCACGGCATCACCAGGGCTCCTTGAAGGTGGGGTAGGGATACTAAAGGAATGGAAGCTAAGAAAAATACTATTTCTTTTTGTAAAGCGATACCACATACAGAGTATGGGACTGTTTTTTTCCTGGTAGAGTCAATTCTTATCTATACAAATACTGTGGTTGCTGTGACGTGCTGTCAAGCCAGTTCTGACTCATAGCTACCCTGTATAGGGTTTTCAAGGGGTTTCTGGTGAGTTTGAAATGCTGGCTGACCTTGTAGTTCAAACTGACCTTGCACAAATTTGGGACTATGGAACCAACTCAACCTCACAGAGAGCTCCCACGTGCTCCTCTCCATGGCCTGTAGGATAGGTACTGCCAGTCTTATGTCCCACAGAGTAGGAATTGGAGCTTGGTCAAGCTCACTAAAGGAGTCAAGGGCCGACATGAGACTACTCTTGTTTTCTGTGACTGCACAGGATCATGAAGAAGAGCTCCAGGATGCCATCTTAGCTTTGCCACTTACTAGCTGTGAGGCCTTGGCAACTTTTCTAGGCTTCAGTTTCCTCATCTTCATGGAGATACTAATAGTTCATTCTTTATAGGCTTGTGGTTAATACAAGTGTTCAGAAGCATGCCTGGCACTTAATAAACACTTAATAATATATGCATTCCCCATACCCTAAATCTCCTTTAAGAAAATGAGACATGCTCAAGAACAAACTCCTACCTCCATTAAAGGAAATATGAACCTTTATTTAAAAGCTTGCTATTGGTATGACTCATATGTATTCACATTAACAATTAACTTCTCTCCCATTAAAACGAGCTGTTCTCCTCCCTATGACAACTGTAATTAGTGAAATTACTTTAACGTATAAGCAGTTATTTTTGTTAGTGACTGGAAATACCTTCTTCTAGTGGACTGCGAACACTGGACTGCGAACCAAATGGTCGGCAGTTCAAACCCACCAGCTGCTCCTTGGAAACCCTATACCGGGTTGCTGAGTCGGAATCCACTAGATGGCACTTCACAACAATAAGGCAATTATATATAGTTCTTGAAGATTTCAGAAATACAGTTTCCTGTTGACTATCTTATGGTGGTGGTGGTTGGTGGTTATGTGCCATGGAGTTGGTTCCGACTCATAGCGACCCTCTACAGGGTTTTCGAGGATATAAATCTTTATGGGAGTAGAAAGCCTCATCTTTCTCCCACGGAACAGCTGGTAGCTTTGAACTGCTGACCTTGAGGTTAGTAGCCTGATTCGTAACCACTATGCTACCAGAGCTCCTTCCTCACAAAATTTTAGCCTGCAAGGAAAACACAGTGATTTATAACACCTGCTTATTGATCCTAATGTCTTGCCAAATGTTTTACTTCACTTGGAAAGCTTAAGAACAGCACACCCTTTTAAATACAAAGATGTGTTAGGCAGTTTGAATAACCCTCATCTGTTTTAAGTGTGCAGTAAACTTTAATTACTGTTCTATTTTTCTCATGACAGGTTGCACCTATTTCTGTGACCTTTGTCCCCCTGCCTCAGTCTTTTACCATGGAAAAGCTCTAAAATTTATTCTGTCTTCTAGACTTTCAACTATTCAGATTGTATAATTATTGCCTCCCACAACTTTTCTGCAGACCCAGAAGAATTGATTTGCATTTTAAAATAATTTATGCAGGTTAGCTAGACATGCTAGTGTTTCAGGAAAGGAAGGTGGGAATGGTTGGATCAGGGCCTACATTTATCTACAGTTCTTGGCTACCATATCCATGTCTGGTGACCACCCTTACATTTCATAGAATCCAAACTCTTTTAATAATAGAATGCCTGAAAAGGACAGAAGGATGAAGGCAAAAGGAAGAAATTAAGTAGAAGAAGATAAAAAAAAAAAAAAAAACCAGTAGCCAAGTCTGTAGAATATGTAAGAGAAGACAGATACCACAAAGGCAGGAACAAAATGGGAACTGTTTATTTCAATACTGAAATCCAAACATTCTATAAAGGACTGCCTTAAATAATTTCAAAGGCCTCACAGCATATAAGGAAGGGAGAGATAAAAGATAGAAAGAAGGAAAGAAGAAAAACCAATTACTCTGTGTTACACAAGATTTGATATCTACTCACAGACAAACACAATTCACAAAAGCAAAGAATAATTACAATATGATACAACAAACATTGTTTGAACAAATAGATTCCGCATATTTAAAACAGAAAAAGTGCCACTAAGATTACACTATATTTACTGAACCTGGGAAATCTTGGCAGTAGCTACAAATCTTCTTAATTTACAGATTAGGAACAAACATCCACAGATGTTAAGCCACTGGTTCACAGTCACTGAGCAAAGAGATTCTGCATTTTCTATCTGGGAATAAAAAGATGTTTGCTTTCAAAAGACTTTTGAAAATGAATATCACATAATTTTTTATTTGTACAGAATTTTCATGTAAAATTGTTGCTCTTAATTATATCCATTAATATTTAACCAGTTCTGTTTCTGGCAGAATGTGATGACATTTTTCTCTTTGATTATTCACCACCGGCACTGAAAGTTTCAGAATCATGGCACAAAGGTGCAATTCACAAATAAATCACATTTTAAAAAAGGATATTTAAATATTCATGCCAAATCAAAATAGCTATCACTTGTGCCAAACATGCATGTTTATATTTTATTGTAAGGACAACCACAGATGATAAGTATTTTCCAGAACATCCTTTTTCCTTCTTTGTTAAATCAGCTCTACTCCCAAGAGGTGCTTGCTCGCTAATGTTTGGCATTCACAGTACAACTAAAATGAATTACATTCACAATGGCCACAGTGGTTAGTCTGTGTTCAAGACTTTCCAGAATTTTGAATGACTAAAACGAGGTAGACAAAAATTTAAGGATTTCATTGGTTGGGACTAATTTTCTTTAGATTTTGATCAATTTATTTACTTTAAAACTACAACTCCAAAATACTTTGCAAAAGATTCAAAGTGTCTGAGCACTTTGTCCAAAAGTGGAAAAATATAATTTTAAAAGGTTAGGTTTATGAAATTGCTTTACCTCATTTTAATTTATAAACAGGATAAAAGCATCAAATTACAAAACCATCATCTATTTTAAAACTGACTAACCGCCCAACATCACCCAGTATTTAAAGAGACCACTGCCTTGGCTCTAGTTCTGATGTGGCAGTGTGTAAATGTGAAGCATCAGGTTAACTAACTCAGTCAGGACGCAGACTAGCGGCTGCCCTAAATTTTGACCCTAAATTCCTCAATCCCATCTCTAAAGACAGACCTGGCCTCAGACAGAAGCTTGGAGGCACAGGCCCACTTGGGTAAAACAAGCTGCAGTGGAACAGGTTGGAAACAGGATACAGTGGATTTGAGCCCTGGCCTAGGGAGGGCTTAGCTATGGAGGAAAGTCAGGAATTGTCAGGTTGTGGGGGGTAGGCTGGGCACTAGCCCGGCTAATGGCCCTGGAGTGCCTCGACGAGATTCTGAGAATGACGGAAGGCCGCTGCGGGTCTTGGTCTTTTTGCGTGGAACCATGGGCGATGCGCCCAAAAACTTGCTGAAGGAGCCGGACTTCTTCAGGCCTCGCGCCAGGTCCTGGAGCATCAGGTCGTCAGCGAGGACGCCCAGAAACGCACTGGTGGTGGAACTGAGGATGGTGGCGGCCACCTGCACCGGGCGCCGGACCGCAAGGCTACCGCCACTGCCAAAGCCATTGTGCTCTGTCGCGTCGCGCAGACCGGGGTCGCCGAGTAGGCGGCGCACCGCGTATGAGGAGCCGGGCCGCAGGTACTGGTAGGCTCGCCGCCCGCTGTGGTCTCGCACGTGCACCTGCGCCCCGAGACGAGCCACCAGCAGCACCGCGGCGTCCTCTTGGCCGTGCAGCGCCGCCAGGTGAAGTGGCGTGTAGCCGCCATGCGAACGCGCATTCACGTCGAGCGGCGCGCCTCCGCGCCGTGCGATTTCCACCAGCTGCAGTGCCATCTCACGGTCCCCACTCTTGGCAGCCCAGTGTAGGGCGGTGAAGCCAGATATGAAGTCGCGTTTAGCTGCCAAGCCGCTATCTCGCAGCAGCAGCCCATGCAACTGGTGAGTCCAGCGGCCACTGGCCGCCCGCACCAGCCACTCGTGCTCCGCCGGCTCCAGGGGCAGGGCAGGCAGCGGCGGCGGCTGCGGTGGGGCAGGCACCTCCTCAGCGTCGGGGCTCAGCAGGCGCGGGTTTGAGCGCGACAGGCGCCTCAGGTGCGGGGAACGTCCTGGGCCCAGGTTAAGGCCCAGGCCGGACTCCTCCACCGAGAGCCGACGCCGCAGTAGTGGGGAGCCCCGCGGGCTGGGCTCCTCCGACAGCTGCCTGCGCAGGCCCTGCTCCTCGGTCCTGATCCGGAGCGCGGGACCCGGGACGTAGCGCACCGGCAGCATGCAGGGTTTCTGCTGCGGCGCGCGCGGCGCGAGTGGCGGCAGCCCTTTGGCCAACCCGGGCCAAGGTTCCCGAATTGTCGGCGAGGTAGCCTCCGAGTGCGCAGCAGATGGTTGGGTCACGTCGATAGATAGTCCCTTGGAAGGCAGGACTAGCTCAGAGGAGGGAACCTTTGGCTGGTGGGACGAGTCTAAGCGCCCTAGGTCTTCATTAGGCTGAGCCGGCTCAGGGACCCGATTCCCGGGGGCACCCTGTGACTCCAGGTCGTCTGGTGGCTCCTCTGACCGTTCGGGCAATGGCGAAGATGAAGTTCCCCGACCGGTGGTTGCCCCCAGTGAGATGGCAGTGACATCTAACACCGGGACGGGAATGCTAGGGGTGCAGGAGGGTAGAGGATGAGGTCCTTCAGGGGGCTGCGGCTTTTTCCTCAGTACCAAGAACTTGGCGCCGTCCAGCTCCTTCACCACCGCCACATTGTTGACGAACTGCGTGAAGCGGTCTCTGCGGGCAGCGCGACCACGCGGGTCGCCAGCATCCAGCATCGGCTTGAAGCGGCTCAGCAGCTCAGACTTGCGTACCTTCCCGCCGCGCTCCTGCAGGAAGCCTAGCACTGCTGCCTGGCTCACCCCGGCGGCCGCGGCGGCTGCGGCTGCTGCTGCAGCAAGCGCCATGGTGGCTCCTTGCGGGGAGTGGAGCCCCCTGGGTTCCGGGCTTCTGGGACAGGTGGACGCCGCGGCGCCCGCCCGAATGCACCAAGGCCGTGCTCACCTGATCGTTTCACCGCGGACAGACCAGCGTGTCTGGCCTTGGCAGCGCCACCTGGCCCCAGGGTAAAGGTGTCTCCGAGAGAAAGGCACTGGGCACCACAGCGCAACCCCTTCCTCCCCGCTGTGCCTTGTTGGTCCCCCAACCTGCTGGGATTGGTTTCTGCCTTTACGTTCTGTCCAGTGGGCGCCGGGTTCCATCCCCAGCGCTGGGGCTCGCCTTACAGGTGACAGCTGCCGCCCGCGCGGTGGAGGGGGCGGAGTTAGCGGGTATTCTTCACCCGCCTCCCCAAACCCGGGATTAAAGGCGCAGGGCTGCGCGTCTGCCTGGGCTGCCAGTTGCTAGGTGGCTATAGTCCCCAGGGATGTCACAGCCGACTGGCCAGGCAAGGACTTTCATTCCTTTAAGAAAAATTTACCTACCAAGAAACACCGAGTGACGATTTTAAAGCAATAATTTATTATTTGAAGGTAATATCTCCGATGCGTTTCATAAAGGAAAACTAGGCGTCACGCAATTTACAGCAAAAACAATTTTCTATGATGACAATGAACGTTAGTTGAGGTTTAGAAGAGACTATTAAATAGCATTTTCCCTCATAAAATAATACATTTCACTAGAATTTTTTTTGTGTGTGTGGGGGGGAAGCAAGACATAAAGACGGAAAAGCATCATCTGAATCAGCATCAGTGTTTATTTTGAAATATTTTTCCCAATTCACTTGTGTACACATGTTTATACAAAGTTGGAAGCATGCTATGTTTTAAAAACTTCATTTATTCAACAAATATTTATTGAATATCTACTATGTGCATAGGAGCCATAGTGGCCCAACCAGTTAGACACTGGGCTGATAATGAAAGATTGGCTATTCTGAATCACTGAACTGGTCCAGCAGCAGAAAAACCAGGGGAAAGACTTGGAGATCTACTTATGCTAAAGACTACAGTCAAGAAAACCCTATGGAACGCTCTAGTCTGTCACATGGGGTCGCTGTGAGTTGAAATGAATAGACAGGGACCTAATATCAGCAACTAAGTGTTGGGCTACTAAGCAAGATACACAAAAATCTGTACCTATGTAGAGCTCACATAGGACTAGGGTGCAGGATAAGAAAGGAGGACAGAAGATACTGTGGATCTGGAAAAACTATAATATACTTGACGAGTACTATGGAAAAAATAGAGCAGGATAAAGATGAGGGGTAGATTGCAACTTTGAACAGGATGGTCATTTTGAAGGTGAGGAATTAAGCAAGGGAACAGCCAGGGCAAAGGAGGAATTAGTGTCTTAATTTACAAAAGCAATACTATAGACATTTAACCAGAGTTAGTACAGTGTAATACTTAATAGAGCAAGGCTCTGGAGTAAAAAATCTGCACTTGAATACTGACTCAGCTTGGACAAGTTACTTTACCTCTCAGTGCCTCAGTTGTCATATTTGTAGAGTGGGAATGAAAAAATAGCATGTATCTTATCTTGTTGAGAGGATTAAGTGGGAAACACAGTACACTTAGAATGATGGTGGTGGTTGTGTGCCACCAAGTGGATTCTGACTCATAGTGACCCTGTATTTTTCCCAATTCACTTGTGTACACATGTTTATACAAAGGTGGAAACATGTATAGGGTTTCTGAAGCTATAAATCTTTATGGGAAAGCCTCCTCTTTCTTCCTCAGAGAGACTGGTAGATTTGGTTTGCTGACCTTGCAGTTAGTAGTCCAGATCTCCTTACGTTTAGAATAGTCACTGAAAAAAGAAAGAACACAGTAAAATGTGAAGGGTCCTTATCATTCCCCAGTTTACTTCCTGTCTCCAGCTCTATCTTTAGGATGCATACACATTTAAACTTCTGCCTCACCACAACTTGATATCCGGAACATTTCCCCAATGACAGTACATAGTAGCTCAAAATACCAACTGACAGGGAAGGAGTCACCACATCAAGGATAAAACCTATCTCCTCTGTATGCAGAGAAGGGCAACTTAGTCACTGGCTACCTAAAATTGGGGAGCTATAAAGGCATGAAGTGGCTGGCTTACAAATTTTCAAAAGGGTGTTTAGTTTCAGAGTATGTGGGGGGAAGGTAGAATCCCCACTGAGCAGTTTTCCTCTTGTTTAGATGGGTCTAGTGAAGAAGATTGAGATAGGATTCATTGATTCAATAGTGAGTAATTGTTATCATATCTAATTACGATTTTCACAACTGTAAAGGTAGAAGATGTGTAACAAAAAGGGAGAGTAGTTAATCTTACATTCCAAGAGTAGAGGACCCTAGGACCATCAAGAGAGAACAGCATGAATTGAAGGTAGAATCCTAACCAGAGAAGCAGCAGCCCTGGATATCAAGCTTTGGGAGTCACAAGTTCCAGAACAAATCATGTTTTGTTCTTGCTTGCCAGCCCAGAGGAAGCAAGAGGGACATCTTCTTTCTCATGTCTATGGCTTGTTAAGCCAATTGCTTTCTGAGGTCAAAAGAATTTGCTTCATTTCTAAATTTTGATGACAAATGACAGATCCTTTGCCTCTGCTGTAAGCTCAGTTTTTCTATCTGTGGTTCATTCTTCATGCTGCTTCTCTGATTCCTTAGACTGTGCTTGGTTGCTAGGTAAGGAATCAGAAGCCTGGTCCATAGAGACTTGTGCTGTGTGCTGGCTAGGCAAACCAGGAGCAGTTGGTGCTCTTTGTTATCTTTACTAATTCCTTATCTGCCTGCTTCTCTGTGAATAAACATATGTAAGTTCTGACTTAAAATATTATTGTTATTAAGCTCCAGGGCACAATTTTTAGCTGTTTTCTTTCATACAGTGTGTCTGAATTAGGAAGGGCCTATTTTGAGAGGCCTGCAAATGATCATTTTCCTTAACTGTGAGGTGGAGTCCTTGCTTGAGACAGAGTGGGCGAACCAACAATGTAAAGGCCAGGCTTCCATTCCATTATGGCTACTCTTCAGTTAATCTTGGAGATTACATCCCCAAATGTTTGGAAATGTGGTGTCCACCTACAGCATTCAGGCGTGAAACATTAAATAGTTTTTTTGTTTTTTTCCTTAAATGTTTTATTGTGAATTATGTGGCAGTTTACATGGGAGAACATTAGTTTTACATTCATTCTATCGTATATCATTTCATTGCCATGGTTACAATTCCTCCCCTCTATGCAACATCAACCAACCAAAGGGTAAAATAGTGGTTTTGAAGATGGATAGGCAAGATAACTCTTTCCTAAGTCTTTGTTGTATCATGTTTAAATTGTGGTGGCATATTGTGGTGGCTTGTGTGTTGCTGTGATACTGAAAGCTATGCCACGAGTATTATAAATATCATCAGGGTGCCAACGGTGGATAGGTTTCAGCTGAGCTTCCAGACAAAGACAGACTAGGACGAAGGAGAGACAGACTACTTAGAAATTTTAGTCACTGAAAACTATATGAATATCAGTGGAACACTGTCAGCACCAGATTACTGAATATTGAAGCATGATAAAGAGTAACAGATAATGTCAGATACAGTTCTAGAAGATGAGCCCCTCAGGTTGGAAGGTACTCAAAATATAACTGGAAAAGAGTTGCCTCCTCAAAGTAGAGCTGACCACGATGACGTGAATGAGTAAAGCCTTTAGGACCATCATTTGGTGATGGGGCGCAATTCAAAATGAAGAGAAACAGCTGTAAACATTCATCAATAATCAGAACATGGAATGTATTAAGTATGAATCTAGGAAAATTGGAAATTGTCAAAATTTAAATTGAACTCATGAACATTGATATCCTAGGCATTAGTGAGCTGAAATGGATTGGTATTGGCCATTTTGAATCTGGCAATCACATGGCTTACTATGCTGGAAGTGACACATTGAAGAAGAATGGTGTCACATTCATCATTAAAAAGAACATATCAACATCAGTCATGAAGTACAACACTGTGATAGAATTATATCCTTACGCCTACAAGGAAGACCAGTTAATACAACTATTACTCAAATACACCAACCACTAAAGCCAGTGATGAGGAAATTGAAGAGTTCTACCAACTTCTGCAGTCTGAAATTGATCAAAGATGCACTGATAATTACTGGTGATTGGAATACAAAGGTTGGAAACAAAGAGAAAGGGTTAGTCAATGGAAACTATGACTTTGGTGATAGAAATGATGTTGGAGATCATGTGATAGAATTTTGCAAGACCAATGACTTCTTCATTGCAAATACCTTTTTTAAACAGCATAAAAGTTGACTATACACAGGGACCTCACCATGTGGAATATACAGAAATCAAATCAACTTACCTATGGAAAGAGAGGGTGGAAAAAATCCATATCACCAGTCAAAACAAGGCCACAAGTAGACTGTGGAAGAGACCATCAATTGCTCATATGCAAATACAGCCTGAAGCTGAAGAAAATTAAAAATACTTCATTAGACCAAAATATGGCCTTGAATATATCCCACCTGAATTTACAGATCATCTGAAGAATACATTTGATGCATTAGACACTAAAAACTGAAGACCAGAAGAGTTGTTGGATGACATCAAGAACATCATACAGGAAGAAAGCAAATGGTCATTAAGAAGACAGGAAAGAAGGAAAAGACCAAAATAGATGTCAGAAGAGACTCTGAAATTTGCTCTCCAGCATAGAGATGCTAATGCAAATGGAAGAATTGGGGAGGTACAAGAGCTAAACAGAAAATTTTAAAGGTCAGCTCGAGATGACAAAGTCAAATAATGAAATGTGCAAAGACCATCAGTTAGAAAACCAAAAGGGAAGAACACACTCAGCATTTCTCAAGCTGAGGGAACTGAAGAAAAAAATGAAACCTGGACTTGAGGTATTAAAGGATTCTATGGGCAAAATATTAAATGATGCAGAAAGCATCAAAAGAAGATGGAAAGAATACAGATTC